GGCAAAGGAGCAGCGAGAATCTCCCTTGAAAAGGGATGTCCTCGGGCTCTCCTCTCTGGCCTCCCCTCCACCTTGTCTTGCAGCTGGCGCAACTGCTCCGCCATCCTCTCTATTGCCCGATCTCTTCCAGCTCCTCCTTCTCCATAACTAGACACATCCTCATCCTGGCTTCCGGCCACCGTGGTCGGCGCAGTGGTGGCATGAGATGTATGACTCGCAACTTGCTGCACCGCCTGCGCCGCCGCGGCCGCCGCTATCCTCTGCATCTCTTCTCGGGTCATCACCACCATTTGTTGGCCGGGGTCTTGTACGGCTGCCTGTGGTGGCACTCCTCCTTGCGTCAGCACTCCTCCCTGCCCTTGTGTTGGATCTGGTGGTGGTGGTGGTGGCATCGCCGCTGCTGCTGCTACACGAGCCTCCTGGGCCCGACTGGAGCTGGCATCTCCTCCGGGAATCGCCGTCGTCACTCCTAAACCTTGAAGGTTAGGTACGGGAGTGATCGGAGTCTGCGATGGGCCGGAAAAACCCGGAAGAGGGCCGTGCCCCAACGGCCTGGTCGTCGTCCAAGCTTCGTCGAACGTCGACTGCAAGTTTTTAGGAATTCCGTCCGCCATAGCTGAGCTTCAAACACAACTTTTTGAACAAGGAATCCCCACAGACGGCGCCAATAATGCAAGCGTAAGCGTCCTGGTCCGGTTTGAACGGATAGATCTTGGTCCTCGCCGGTAGAACACCGGAAACCTGCAAATAACTCTCACACCGGGGGTTGTATCCGGTGAAGAGCCTCCGATGCTTAAGTCAGTACGTGTATGAGTATACTGAAGTGAAAATATGGAAAATAGAATGTGTTCAAGGAGAGAGGCTCACCCCCTTTATATAGGGGTGAGATACCTGCCCTAACAGCTGCCCGGATAAGGATGAGCTGACTGCCCAAGCTGCCCATCCGTACTCTGACACGCCGCTCACATGTCAGATGTGGCGCGGGGCGTTGGGAGCTGTCAGAGGTGATTATCGCTATCACCCAATACATTGTCGACACGTGTCCCCCCTGCACATGGGGTGAATATTCTCCTGGGATTCAGTTAGAGGCTCTTACGCGCGCCCGTGATACACGCGCCCATGACTGGGCCGACTGTTGGTTCCTCGAAGCGATCGACCTGTTGAGGTCGAATAGGTTGCCCGATCATGTATCTGGTCGAGCGATCGGTTGCTCGATCGTTAGTCTGGTCGTGCGGTGGACTGGTCGACCACCTGCCTGGTCGATTCATCTTCCCGCCTTTTGGCTTGGCTCCCTCTTGGTTTAACCTTCTCGACCGGCCAAGCAGACCGGTTTAGCCTTGTGTATATAATATCCCATATCACTGCCTGAATTGAGTAATCTCGCTTTTGAGTTGCATCGACTTGCTTGAAGGAAAAATTTTAAGAAAGAACTTCTTGTTCAACTCCTCCCAAGTCTTAATGCTCCCATCAGAAATCATCGACAACCAACTCCGAGCTTTATCCCTTAGAGAGAAGGGAAATAGTCGCAGCCGTATGGCATCCTCGGAGACACCATTGTACTTGACCAAATCACAAATTTGCAAAAACTAGGTCAAGTGTTGATTCGGATCCTCGGTCGGGTGTGCACCAAATTGGTTGTTCTGCACCATCGAGATATAGGAGGGCTTCAACTCAAAATTATTCGCATTGACGGGTATATGCGCAATCCCGCCAAAATTCTTATTAAATTCAGGCCGAAAGTGATCACGAATCGCTTGCTTCTGTTGTTCTTGCTCTGCCATTGTGCACTTTGACTTGTCCTTTTTTTTCTAGTTGTTGCACTATTGCGTCTAGCGAATGCTTCAACTTCGTCAATCAAGGGTTGTAGTGGTGCACTTTTAGAGCGAGTTAACATGCACGTCCTGCAATCAAGAATAAGAGAGATTATGTCACCAATAAAAAAAGATCTAAATTAAAATTTTCACTACCTATCCTAATATTGTTAAAAATAACTATATTGGTCCTCGGAAACGGCGCCAAAAACTTGTTCGCCTATAATTTAAAGCTCGACCGCAAGTGTACGGCTTCGCTCGTAGTATGTGGCAAGCAAGGTCGTATCCCTATAGACCAAATAATTAATATATCAAGTATTAGATTATGATAATGTCAACTTTATTTAGACGATCGTAATTGGATAGATTAGATAAACTAAGAGAATAAATCAAAAAGAATAAAGCAAAAATAAAGCACTAGTTAGAAAAACACGTAAGAAAATATATGGGAATGATAGATTCTAAGACGTTGGGTTCAATTAATAGTTGGGTTCCTTAAAAAATATCACAACTAAATGTTTTCTTTATTAACCCTATAAGATGATCACAAATTTTGCTTATCGTCCCTCTCGAGATCGATAAAACTATAGATTAAATCACATATATTAGCGTCTCTACTCAACACATGCAATTCTACTCCAAAAAGATTAAAAGACCCAAAATCCTCACAATTATCTACTAATCTCTCGATTCAAGCAAATAAATTGTGTCAAATATTAAAGATCTAATATTGAACTCATCTCTCGAATTATGAACAATATCATCAAACATGTAAAAGCAGTGGCCAATTGCAATTCATGAAATAAGAATAAAATATTTGAATAGGGTTCAAAAAAAAACAATCAACTATGATAAATCATCCAAAAATCCCAAACTATTAATCTACTACCATGTTTTAGAATCAAAGAAATTTAGCTACTCATGTTTGAATTCAAATACCTAGACATATTAAAAATCATCATGAGAAAATAAGTTCAAAAGAGAGAAAGAAAAACTAGAAATCTTGTGGTTGATCCTCTCTTCTTCTCAATTGTTTCTCTTCTGTGTTCCAAGCCCTTCTCCTTGTGTTCCCTCCGTTTCTCCTTCAGAATAGGGTTAATATACTTTTTGTAATGTCCAAAACTCTTCTCCTTATCCAAAAAGGCAAGGAAATAAAAACTGCCCGCGTGTGCGACACGACCCGACATGCCCGTGTAACAGGTCGTGTCACGGGCCGTGTCAGGTACTTGGCTTCGAAATCCTTTTGCTGAGGTGACATGGCCTCTGACACGGGCATGATGCCCGTGTCACTGCCCGTGTCACAAATCTGCACTTTATTTTTCACTTGTTTCACTCGTTTCTTCCATTCCTTTCATCCGTACATCAATCTTTCATCATCCCGGGGTTCCTAGGTACCCACCATTTGCCTCCAATAGCCAAAAGCTCTACAAATATGTGAAAATATCTACAAAACAAGCACGTGTAATACCTTTCCCACAAATATAGAATTAAAGCACAGATATGCAATTTATACACCAATAATGCGATGTAAGCTCTAAATCCTATATAAATATGGTGTAAAATCACACATGAACATCCAGCTCCTCCAGGAGCTCAGACAGAGAAATGGATATTACGATCTTAAGGTCATACGGTGAAGGTCATGGTTTTGGCCTGCCATGCATCCATGGCAGTTGATCGTGAGGTTTGTTTCGACTAGAGCTGCAAACGAACGAGTCAAAGCTCGACTCGAGCTCAAGCACGAACACGAGTCGATCTCGAGCCATATATTGCATCGTCGAGTGGCTCGAGATATATGTTAAATTACTAAAATACCCATTATATCTATAGGTGCTTAATGTTAATTTTACTTTTCCATTCAAAAATTTTCGAGCCAAACTCGAGCCGAGCTCGAGCTATTGTAATTTTTTTCGAGTCGAGCTCGAGCTCGAGCATCTAAAAAAAATCCAATCTTGCTCGATAAAGTCAATGCTCGACTCGACTCGGCTCAGCTCGTTTTCAGCCCTTGTTGGGACGATATACAGACATTAGAGCCGTGCAATAAAAGGAAATAAAATCCTTTCAAAACGGTACGTGTATCTAGCTAAAGAGTATAAGATTTCAGAGACGTGTTAAGCTAGGACAAAAAGATATACTAAATTTCTTTCTTAGCAAGGACTCTACTTGAACAATAAGATAATATGGATATACAAATGTTGCATGTTCTATTTTTACATGACACATATGGTTACGCGTTTTTGCATACCTTTTTTAGTATATTCGTTAGTGAGATTCTGGTTTGAGCATCGAAGGTTTTCCACCGATTCCCTTCCCTGACATGTTTTGCAAGTTACTAGAGCTGAAGGCGAAGAACCGTTCGTGGTGTTACCAATCTAACCCGGTCCGGAGGCAATTTGTGTATCAACGCGTACGTATTGTAATGATCACACACATAATCCAAAGATGGAAATAGATTACCTATATCACTTATCCACTGATGAAAAACTCCTGGATTTCAATCCAAAGATGAAAAGCATCCAAAAGACTTTATGCAATTAGATGCAACACATACATATTATATGAAAAAAAATCCACATGTATTTCAATCCAAAGATGAAAAATATACAATTAGATCAAACACATAAATATTATATGAAAAAATCAACATTGATTTCAATCCAAACATTGAAGAAAAAAAGTAAAGCCCACATGGCAATTACCTTATGATGAAATTCACACCCACAAACAGTATGTGAAGGTAACTATGTCGATGGAATGACACTCGCATCCCATAAAACTAAAATGAAATTGTAAAGGGCAAATTCGAACGATTGATGGAGACCAGACATCGACCTGCCCTTGCCGCCTTGCGTTAAGAATTTGGCTTATCCAAAATTCTTTTACCTATAGTACTGAATCAACAAAGGTAACATGACAGTACATTAACGGCTCACCAGAAAAACTCTAGTGTCGCTCCTTTTTTTTTTTTTTTTTCAACAATACACCACTCATTTAAATTAAACATTGAAAAAACGAAAAAGAGAGAACACGGAACACCTTTATGATCATCAACCCAAACAAGTAGACATAAAATCGCAAAAACAAAGTACAAGAAACAAAGTAATAAATTACCAAATCACAACCCCCTCATCTCCCCAATTGCACATCAGCAATTGCAAAACGCCGCAAAATTCCACGTCCAAATATTCTTCAACCCTTGACGGTTTCTCCAGTGTCTGCTTTCAAATTCTGAAGGGCTTCCTCGGGCTCAACTTTTAAGGACTCATGGGCTTCCTCGGGAATGTTGAAGTTTTGGTTGGTGTTTTCATTAGTTTTGTCTGGTTCGGGATTGGGCTCAAGATTTAGACGAGTTTCTACAGGACCCACTTTGGCATGGTGAAACTTGACAACAATGCACGTGATATTGTCGGCACTGCCACGAGTGAAAGCCGTCTCAGTCAGTTTCCGTGCGCCACATTCTGGGTCGTCCTCTGTTTGTGCTATTGAAACAGCATCCTGAAAAATATTTTTTTTTTTGTAGGGGTATCAGTGTCTTACTACATATGATTATCATTTGTGTTGTTCAATCTTTGCCGCTAGAGGGGGTGTATTCGTTTGAGATTTTGAGCAACATTATGTAATTTTGTGAGATTTGAGACTTCTTTGAGTGTGTGTGGGAAAAACCATAAACTAGCTTATAACTTATTTGGTTAGCTTATAAGCTTTCTGTATACAAATAAGCTTAGTTTGGCGGGACGAGCTTCTTCAAAAAGTTGACTTATCTTATAAGTCATAAGCTTCCTTGGAGTTGGATAGCTTTTCAAATAAGCTCTTATTTCGGCTAATTTTAACACACTTCTATCATATTGCTAGCTTTTCAGCGATCAACCATAAACTATCAACTATAAGCTCAAAATTCACTTATAAGGCAGTAGCTAACAGCTAGGTTTACCAAACATTTCCAGATTTATAAAGTATCCTATGAAATATTCGGACTTCGGACTGGTCAGATTTGGAGTAGAATTTTGTACATGGTTTTTTCTATTGAAATCTCAACATACCTTAAAAAGCCCTAACAAATCTTAGTCTCAATTAAGTTAAATATCTTAAGGTTTTGATAGACTTTTAAGAATATCAAATGAATACCTCGGGACTTTTAAAAGTCTAAGATAAATACACCATGATTTTTAAAACCTTAAAGGGTATTTAGAAACAATTATTTTATTTCTACAAGTTTATCTTATTTTCCAAAAATAAGAGGAGGGAGCTTTTGAGCTATTAGTGGTGACAAATCGGAAGAAAGATTAGTCAAAAACTTTTTACTTAAATCTTTAAACAATGTGTCGTGGAGGTTGGTGATAGTTGACTACCAAATTAATCAAATATTTATACTCAAGGGAAGCAAAGACACTAAAAGGGTTTTGATAGCTGATGCATGCGAAGAGTAATTTTACCTCATTAGGAACAACATCCCAAAGTCCATCACTTGCAAGCACAAGCAATTCAAGGTTCTGGTCAACCTCCAGGTCCTATTAGCATTTACAGTGACAACAAGCTTTAGCTACAAGAGGTATGAATCTATACAAACCAACTCATTACCATAATCACCAACCCAAGCAATAATTTACAACAAACCATAACCAACTAATTTTATTAAATTACCATGGCCAAACCAAACCTCTATAACTACAATTCAGGCTACCTGAATCTCAGGTTCAGCCACAACGAACTGTTTAAGCATGCGATTGCCAAAAGCACGAGACATGGCCAAGACACCCCCAACCCTCCAAGTACCTATACGAAGTAACAAAAAAATAAAGCATAGATAATAAATAAATAACGATATTTAACAGTTAACGCCATTCCTGCTTTTGTAAATATATGAGAATTTTGCGAAACAGGAATGTGTCACATGATAAGTTGATAACTTTCATTAACAAGGATCAGGTGCTTATTTCCTTTACCATGCTGTGAACATCTCAGTCAAGAAAAAATGCCCACTCGCATTAACCAAATGAATGAAATTAACATATTACTCAGTGTCAATAATATCAGTTAGCCCATCATTAAGTCCATGACTCAGCTCCGCTGACCAAGTGACAGCATTTTGAAGTATCTCATTCCATTTGATATTCAATTTTGAGCACAGTAATCACTCAATAAAAAGGACACCGAACCTGCCCACATGACAACACCTCCAGCACTTTCAATTCTCTTTCTCTCATCACTTCGATTTGGTTTGTGATCTTCTGATAGTGGAATTGCTTTGCGGCCAAAAGAATACACAAGGAAAAGGAGAAAGTTCATCAAAAGCACTTATAGCCTTGATTATTTTTCAAAATATCAGAAATCTTGGACAATCATCACTCACAAGTTACAACAGAAATAGCAAATAAAAGAGGGACCATTGATCAAGATTTTAAATGATGCCTGATACTTAAAATCTCATAAGCAAAAAACTGGTTAACATCCCATTTCCTTAATTCCAATTTGGTTATATGTTTATTCAGGCAATCAGTTATCAACAACCAGTTAAGAGGAGATTAGTTATCTGACATGAAATTCCCATACAAATATAAATTTCCTCCAAAACCAGAAAACATGATTAAAAGAATCCATCATTTGTTCAAATGCAAATATATACTTTGTATTACCTACCTTTCCCGGCCTTTGATATTATAGTTCGAGAATCACCAACATTTGCAACATAAAGGTGATTCCCAACAAGAACTGCTGTTGAAGCTGTTGATCCATCATCTCTAAAGGTTTCCTTTTCAGAATCCAAAAAGTCCCTGTCCGTTTGCTGATATGTTTCACCTGTTATATTGCATTAGTCATCTTGGTGCAGTTCTAAAATACTAGAGGTGTTTATTGCACAGGGAGAAGAAGGGAAAATGCGTAAAATCTGGGTGCATTGCTACACTCCAATTATATAGCATCCCCATAATAGCCAAAACATCCATTTAGAGACAAAAAGAAACTAACCCCAACAATATCACCATCACTAGTAATTACAAAAAAAAAAAGAAAAAAAAAAAAGACTATTATTTGGGTTTACACTCACTTATAGCCAATTTTGTATTTGCAATAAATTCTGGGTGTTTCAGGAGATTCTCAAAGAGATGTTCCTTCAAAAATTCGGCAGCACGAGCACCACCATGACCTGTCATGATGTACTGTCCAATTAGAAGAGCATTTTATTTTTTCATATTCCCAGTTCCCATCATCAGAATGGCAAACAATCTAACGAAAAATATTACTTTTAATGAAGAAGATGAAACATTTAGGGTGTGATTGGTTATAAACTCAAAAAAAAAAAAAAAAAAAAAATATCAAAATTCAAATTTAACTCAACTTGGAAAAAAAAAACTCAACTTGGAACCCAACCCTACTACTATATTCAATATTACCACTATAATTAAGTAATATCAACCCATCATTCTTACACATCACATCAACTTTAATTCACTATCCATCAACTCACATAATTTTAACTAACCATCACCTCCAATCATTTTTCTCATACTTTTACATCATCAACTTTAATTATTTTAGTTTAAATAATATTTTACTTTAAACTTAAATTCCCACTAACAACTAACCATACCACCTTTTTTGAATTTTTTGAAATTAACTATGGTTAAAAAAAAAACCAATCAAATCCTTACCCAATCACACCCTTAACTTCTAACCAGCCAAATTATTTTTATTACCCATGTTCAGTCTCATTTTGCCATCAATCAGCACTCTATCTTGTCTAATTCACAATTAATATAAAGATCTAAGAATATCACAGATTCTTAAACAAGCAAACTGAATAAAACCTTCATTTGTGGCCAAGTGAACCTGTGTCTGCTTAACAATTAATTTGACCAACCCAGACAATGTCCAAATGCAAATTGGTTGTGAGTTCATTGCTCCATTCTATTCTATTTCTTTTCTAGTAAGGTGAACTTCGGGGGTGGGGTGGGGGATGGGGGGAGAAGAAAGGACAAAGAGAAGAAAAGAGCTGACGGCTAACCATCAAATATGCCGAAGAGGCAGACTGACTGGCCATCTACCTTGGAAGACTTGATGTCATAAAAGTCCTCCATGCTAGCCCTCTTTCCTCTGAAACTGGAATATCCACAACTTAATGTTCCATCCTTGCTGCCAACCAGAAAATAGAATTTAATACGTTAGCCAATGATAACCCCATAAGAAACATATACATGCTGCGTGAAATGGGCAACAATAATCTGCCCAGAACTGTCCAGATTTACACTAGATGAAACTAGCACGCCAGTTATCCAAGAGACTCCAGATAAGGTACGAGACACCACAAGAATTATTACCCTCTTTGAGGTGCCGTTAATTTTTATCCAACACTGAGCATGCAACACGTAAGCTAAGGAAACATGGTGGAGAGAAGATACGAACTATAGAGCGTGTAGAGATAATCAATTCTTACTACTTAATCTGTTCATCACTCTCGAATAGTGCGACTCCTTCGCCATATTCTGAAGACAGGTACCATAATAGAGATACATAGTTTCTAAGACAAGATACACAGGTCCAAGAAAGTAATAACAGACTGGGCAGGTAGAAGTGAAAATTTTAGCAAGCTATGCATAGAACACGTAGATGCCTATTGCGCGGACAACTAGAAATCCAAAAGATTCAATCTTATATCTAGTGCTTTGATAATACATTGTGACACAGTGATTCAACCAGAGATCCCACACACTAAATCTTCTTTCCGGCAATGAGATTAAATCTTGCTTTATTATTTAGCTAAAAAAACTAATAAAAAGCATTCATCACTCCTTCCCTGGAATCAGAAACGAAATTAATGCTAGTGATCCAGAAGAAGGTATCCTCTATGAGCAAGTTACTAGGGATACTGTTAATGCACGAACGTGAGGGTGTGCATTTAAATCTTACGACACATGGTAAAAGACAGAAAAGCATTTAATTTAGCCAAACAAGTGACCACATAAGCATATGCAGGTAAGATCGTAATAAACAATCAACATAACTAACTTGTACGAGGCGCATGCACTAACTTGTACGAGGCACATGTACCAACTTGTACAGGACATTGTAACTATAACAAAGAATCACCTCAATCTATTTTGGATTCTTCTGGAACGAATAAACCCAATAACAAAACTGAAAAAACCTAACGAGAAACATACAACACATCCAAGATGAACTACCAAAAGTATTAATAATCCTGCCCAATACAAAATTCCTTAAAAGCAAGCAGTTACCTCTTCCATCCGCCACTAGCATAGCCACCATAATCATGCTTCTCAGGTAAAATATCAAACATAGATCCTTCAGCAGAAGCATCAGAATCCACCATCATCTTTCTTGTTTGTCCGAGCTTACAACCCCACAAAGAATTCAGGCTTCGAGTGGCATTCAAATCTCTACTTATATAGCTAAAATATCTGACGTTGGTATACCGCCCAGTATATCCCGTCCAAAGATATATTGACCTCAAAAAACTGTTGCATAACATCTGATGGGGGATAAAATGGAAGGAAATAAGCACCATTGCATCTACATCACATTTTCCAAGCAATAGGCATAAGTATCGATTTATTCTTGAAACCCCGAAATGATATTGCGACTGCCTAACAACGCTCTTTTGCTTACCCAGAAAGCCGTAAATCTGTACTATCTTCCATCGGATCCAACTAATACAGAATAAAAAAGGAAAAGATACATTTGCTTTCTGATTAATGCTATCACTGATGTTTAAATCTTCAGCACCCAAAGTAGTCAATTAATTAACTTAATCTGAATCACCATTGTCACATGTATAACAGCATGTATTGATCTTCAAAGGCAAACTTCCATTCAAACAAGAAGTCCTTTGTTTTTTAATTATATATCATAAGTCAGCTAGAAACTCATTTCCCATATCACCTACAGATTAATCCGACTAAAAATAAAAATATACAATCACATAAACAATAAAAATAAAAAGAAATATATTAGACTTTACGCTCAAAATAGCTGGCTGGCCGAGCAGCAAAAACACATCTGGAGGTGATTATCCACGGCCATTGTCAACGTAAAGTTTACAGCTTTTCTCGTATTAAAAAACATATGCAAAATGTAATGTGTCTGAATCTCGCAGCAAGAAGATCAACGTTCGAAAACCGAATCAAAGAGAAGATCGGAGGAGATCCGAATCCAGTTTATCCGAATAGAATCGGATTAACTTCTACCACAGATGGCAAATCATCAGGCCCATAGAAAAAGAACAAGAAAACGAAAATAAGAAGCAAACTAGGAACCCTAGAGAGAGCGATGATCGGGAGCGGAGCATACACCACCGCTACTATTGAGGAGCGGAGGAAAATGAAGTGTGTTTTTGTTGTGGAGTGGCCAAGCCAAGGGTAGAGAGAGAGTGACAAAGTCTCCTCACCGAAGGAGAAGTGGCGACGTGGCGGTATAAAGGGTGTAAAGCAACCGCAAGGATTATATGTCGCATTCAATGAGCCATGTCATATAATGTGATGAAAGTCCTCGTATTTCATGCATACTCGTAATACACGAGACATAAATATTAAATGAGTTATTATTTTCAAAGAGGCCTTGATCGTTTAAGTTTTAAAAACAATAGTGATGTGCTATTGCACACTAGACCGGTCCTCCTCGATCTCCAACTGCTTGAGCCCTCCAAAACGTGCAAAGACGCCGGGAAATGTTCCTGGCGGTAAACCTCCGACGCTCAAGTTAGTAGGGTATCGAGGAAACCTCAGTTTGTATATTAGGGTTTTGTAACGTGAAAACTCATACCTCAGCCACCACACAATACCCACCTATTTATACGTAATTCCCTAGCTTCTTATGTACGCTTTGCTCCTCGTTCATCAGATCACATATCCCTCCTATGATCGCCACACTACACGTGTAGTTTAGGGGTCAATTTGATAACTGTAACCCTACTCGATTCTCAAACCACCGCATAACCCAACTATTAGCAGGCCGAGAACCCGACTAAGTTGTTATTGGGCCAAACCCATATGTTAACACATCCGTTTGGCCTCCAAGTCCAACCATACCCATAAAAGAACTGTTGGTGGGCCGAGCACATGCGACACCGAATTGTATCTGCTCGGTCTAGAAACCGAGCCGATTTCTGTCGGTCTACATAAATGTTTTCCTGTGCTATATCATCTAGTCCCCCCATTATCAAACGAGCTATTTCTTTGTTACCTTAGATAGACTTATTTGATAATTACTCCAATAATATAGCTCCCCGCGGAATGCGATATCAGAAACGAACCGAGCTATTTGACCGACACACTTGAAAAATCATTCATCAGCACGTGAATAGACCATTGCACCGCCACGTTCGAAATAATAAATAAACTAAATAAAAGCAGTGAAATAGACTGTCATAGCGACCGAGCAAGTTATTCAACCCTTTGACCAAACAAACCGAGAAGATAAAACAATGGCTAACCGAGCCAACTGTTTTGCCGCCTCACTTGAGCAAATGATCCAAATGTGTAGCCGAGCAACTTATCTTCTATGTCGGTCGAACAACTTCACCAACCCCCACCCGAGCAGATGATTCAACTCATGAACTGAGCCAACTGTGGTGCCAAATCTTCCGAGCAGATTACCTTCACGCCTAGCCGAGCAGCTCACTCGCCCCGTGGACCGAGCAGTTGAAGCAAACGCCTGGCCGAGCCACTCGATTTCCATGATGTCCGAGCAGATAAACCGAACACCTGGCTGAGTAGCTCGTGCCATTTTGGCCGAGCAGATGAACCAAACGTCCGGCCGAGCCGCTCATGTGCCACGATGTCTGAGCAGATAAACCAAACACCTGGCCGAGCAACATTTCATGCAATGCAATTGCACGTCTTCTATTCTGCCCTTCTACATTTCGGTTATGTGCCCACATGTATGCCTTGTGTAATAGAACAACACAACTCGGAGCCCTACCCGTGCAAATATAAAGGCTTTCACGTGTACAACACACGAGCCACAACTTGCACGGACTTTGTCCTAGCAACCAAACCCAATGTTCATCTGCTCGTCCTTGTCCGAGCAGAAACAACGCGAGCCTAAGCCTGCGAGGATTTTTTCCGAGCAAAGAATGTGTTCCTCAATCTGCTCGAATTTTGTTCGAGCACAACACACGAGAATCAACCTGCTCGGATTTTGTCCGAGCACCCATCGCGGAGCGCAACCTGCTCGAATTTTGTTTGAGCAACCACCTGTTAGAGTAGGATACCCGGCGTTCCAATCAAATTGGACGTATTCTACTTATAAATACAATCTATTGGAATTATATTAAAAAATAAGGCATTACTTTATTTTGAGAAAAAACATTTATCATATATTTGCACTTAAGATAAAATCACTAGATCACTTATAGCTATAAGATATGGTTGCGCATAGAGATGGTGATCATGGAACATATCTTGAAAGCTGTGATCTTAAATACAGTTCCAAGTCGTTGGATGTTACGAGATGGGATATCGAATAAATCCGGAAAAGACTTGCACATAACATGTATGCTTATTAGATAAGAATGTTGCATTCCATCAACATTAGCGTGGGACGCAAATACATATATGTGGGTGCTTGTTAGAGAACAAGTTCACTGAACATGACCATATGAAAATTCTTAATGAAAGTTTATCATGTCGAATAAGAATTTTCATGTTACAATAGTACATGATTAATCCTTAGACTTGAGGCACGATGGTAACTTTGTGCATATTATATTTTACTTTGATTTATCCTTTTGATTGCTAGCACAATCGTATAAAGGGATATTTTGGGTATTATATTAATATGCATGGAAGTTTGTCAGTGGCCAACAAAGGATTCGATACTTATGAAGATAAGTGAATTGCCTATGTGTTTCATAATTAGTAATTCAAAGTCCTTGGCCAAGGCAGGATGAATAGAGATTCATAAACGAATTACTAAACTTGAAATGGAATCATTATTATTAAATCAATTTGGGTTTCGACAAAATCATACCCAAAGATTTAATCGGGAAATTGGATGTCGAAAGAATTTTACATGTATGGACTTGTAATCGAAATAGATTTACTCGCTAATCACTTAATACTAGATTCATGCTACTTGCTAGATGTTCTCATGATATGTGGGTTCTTGAATTAAAGAGTTAATTCAAGAATAAGAGTTAATATGAATAACTCAAATTACAAAGAGTTGTAAACCCACTACTAGTATTAATTGTGAACCTAAAGGTCACACCAATTTTGGAATGAAGGTAAAATTCAAATAGTATTTCTAAAGAGTTAGAATTAATTGACAAATG